AAAAAAAACCTTTTGAATTGGCTAGCTACGGGCCTGTAACATAATTGAGGCTAAGGCTGCTAAACCACGATATTAAATCAAGGGACTTCCAATTCTTTATCTAATCCTAGTTTTATATTGAATTTTGGAAAATATGGGGGTACCGTTGTAAATATACAAACAGTGGTAGAAAAGATGGGGTTGGGGGGGGCTCGATCCGCACGGTACTTTCTGTATCCAATGTACCTGCCTATGTATGATACTCTGCAGTGATAAAACTGACGCGTCAGTTTGCACCCAAAACACTATTCCCAAATGTGTCAATTGTTTAATACAAAGCTACGGGAAGTAATTACCAACTTATGTATTTGCCGTCTATATGTAAGTGTGTTACACACAGCGGGATTAGAAGACCCGAAACCTTGGTCATGATGAGAAGCTGATTAACTTTCGTCCCTTGAACTCCTCTAGGTAATGCGTCATAAGGAGGATGTGCTATGAGTTCGTTGGTGATTCTGGCATTTTGTCTCTTTTACACAAAGTATCCCATTGCCATAGATTTTAGATCGATCTATCCCTGTGGGGAGTCTCACTAGATTACTGTCAGCTTAGCCGGCTTAAGCGTCTGTCCCGCCTACTAAAAGCTGTAAGGGGGTAATTAACCAATGTGCGCGCACGGCTGACGGCAATTTAGCGTGAACCCCCAGGAATTAGGTCGATCTAAATCTAAATCTCTGGGAATGCACCCTTAAAATAATGTGTGAACCAAGTAACTGCATATCTTAATTGGCTTTCTTCCTCCCAAACGTGCCCATGAAATAAAGCACGGATGCTGAGATTACTAATGAACCGATTTGGCAAGCCTTTCGATGCACACTAAAATCGGCATAGTGGCACAGGTTATCGTTTCCAATTTCAGGCGGATACCCTACCTTCTACCAGGGTGGCAGATTATATAGGGTAAAACGGATGAAACGGCGAAATGAATGTCTATTTATCTAGAGACATATCTGTGAATATCTGTGAAAAATCAATCTGCCGCTCGGGTAGAGAGTAAGGTTACACTCTGACTGAACAAAAGTGAGTATGAAAAATAATGGTGGGTAAAAGCGGTGGGTAAAGCACCACTTGGTGCAATTAAATGTCTTTTGTTCGTCAAATAAAGACTTCAGATGCAAGTTATTGTCTAAACCATACTTTTGATGTCTAAACCATACTTTTCTCACAAAAATAAAAATGCTTTACGGCGAGTAACCTACATACCTTCAATAACAGCTTAAACTACCGGTAGCTACACCGTAAACAGACACATGTTACGTATGTTGTACATGTAGCCTAACATGGGTTCATCTCTTCCGTCCGCTTCGAGGGTGCTAAAGTGAGCCGTGGGTGTTTTTAATGGCGTACATAGAGACGCGTACATGTAGATATACATCAATGTTTATTTTCAGATAGACTTCGGAGAAAGTGAATGGATGTCAACGCGATATGGGCCGCTTTCATAACCAGTTGACTAACTAGTCCGCGGATCAAATATGGTGCGACCCACTTGAAAGCATGCCGAAATTTAATTGCTCTGTCCCTGCAGGGACGGTGGGAGGCATTAATCTATTGTCAAGTGCGTCACGTATATGATCCGCGGGCTAGTTAGTTCGAGGATCACCTGCCCGTGAATGCGCCCATTGCTGTAATTGTACTTTAGTTCTTTCTTATCATCCATAGCACTAGTATTGCGGTCAGAAACATAGTATTTTGCTATATTCGCAGTCGGAACTGTAAGTATAGCTGTTACATTATAGGCACCAAAATAATAAACCAGTATATATTAAGTTCACGTTAAAAAATCCTATCACTTTTGCCCTTTCAATACTCCTCTTACCTGCCTAGGCTAGCTGCTGAACCACAAGATTAAATCTTCAGACGTTTTACTGAGTGAATCTTGTTTGTCATCCAGTTGAATAAGAATGAGAAATCTGAATAACTCCGATAATTTGTAACTTATATTTAGCAACTGACCGACGTTGCGGTTACAACCTTCATTCCCATTCTATCATTAACCCTCATTTTTTTCTATAAAATTTTGAAAGACGACGGGGGTTAAATATAAAGGAAAAAGATTGTTTGAGAAAGGGGGCACCACCTTCTGTGGGGAAGCTCTGGTGCTGTCTATTATCTCTATAAAACGCAATAACAAAGGGACTAAATATACATTGTATCAACAACCAAAACACTGTTGCCATACACGTCATTTATACAACATACAGGGGTAAAGCTACAGGAAGTAAGAACCACGTGTGTTTCTGCTGTCTATATGTGATATGAAGTACCAGGAACCTCATAATGAGGAAATGAGTTTTCACCCCTCTAAGGTTGGATTCAGAAAAAGTTGATCCGCGGACTTACAGATCCGAGGATCAAATATGGCTGACCTCGAAAGCTTGTCGCATTATACCCTAATAGACACTGAATAGGTTCCCCAAGGGGATTTCGCGGTAAGCTTTCAAGTGGGTCGACCATATTTGATCTACGGATCTGTAGGTCCGCGGATCAACTTTGGTTGTATTGTGAATGGAGCCTGAGTGTTCTATTTATGGTACAAGTTTCCGTACCCTTTCGCATGTGACATACATGTAATGCCTATTAGATCAATGTACAACCGAATGTAAATGAGGTGGTGAGATTAACATTGTTCTGGAATATTGTCAAAGTACAATCGGTTGACCAAGTTGTCCACTGGTCTCGAGGTAGGTGTCCTCCCCATAGAGCTCAACGTTTCAAGACTCTATATCAAGATTTTTAAAAAAATTAGATAATATTAAAGATAAAAATTTAGTAATATACTGTGTAATGTTTATTTATTCCCGTTGAGAGTAAAATTTATTTTGACTTCACATTAAACAAGTACTATGTGGGTGTGGTTTTTAAGACTTAAAAGTAGCACGAAAGCATCTTACAGATCTGTTTTATTTTGATAAATATAAGATCATTATATCTCAGAGTGAGGGTTCAAATCACCCAGTACTAGTCTGACTTGATGACAATTAATTTGTGATTTCTGAGTCGACGGGTAGGCATATTGAAATAAGTTCCATGTTGGAAAGTGTAAGGGAAATTAAAATCTACACACTACTTCATGTTGAATTTCTCTATATTAAATACGAAAACAATCTGGAAAGTCTGTACTTGGAGGGCAACCAGCTTAGAAGCCTGGGCAAATGCACCATATTACCTCTAATTCGTTTGCGAAGACTACGTATTGGCAAGAACCCATTTCATTGTGACTGTGAGGTGGCTTGGGTGCGTGCTGTCAGAATTGGTCACATGGACGTTGACACCGACCAGGCTATATGCCACAGCCCCATGGAATTTAAGGGAATGGGCATCACCCGCTTCCCCGTCGATGATTGTACCCTGAAAGACGTCTCGTTGGATATTGATGACTGCGCGCAGCAGACTGCGCAACCCGCTTACGTCACTACAGTTGGAAAAGGGCTCAACGGTCGAGTAACTAAACCACAGGTATTGACAACCAAGTCTGTCAATACTGAGAACTCTAAGAGTAACTTTCAAGAAACCTACGCCAAAACAACAGTAAACCCAATGACGTATATGCAGCGTTAGGCCTAGGAATCATTTGCATACTGGCTATTTTAGCCCTTGCCATTCTTGTTCTCGTTCTATTCCGAGGTTTAAACAAACGGCAAGGTAGAATGTCCACTGAGGAGGCCAATCACAATATGTCCCCGGCACTTCAAGAAATCAACACGACGGTCGATGGACAAACTGGACCGTACCAAACATTGGAGAGGGAGCCGTCGGAGTACCAGAATGTTCCTTCCAGTGTCCACACGGCTAACGCGGAGATTTATGAGCCTCTGACATGTTAAAAAAGCGGCAGTCTATGGGCCAATGTAAACCCCTCTATTTCCCTTATCGATTTTTAATCATGTTTTTCTGATTAGCTTTAATTTTCTGCTCCTTGCCATTAATCTGGTGTTAGATATAAGCATAAGAGTCGGCAACAATGAATAATGAGGGGATTAATCTTTACATGTAGAATTTAATTGATATTCTATATCATTGCACACTCGAGAAAACAGTGAACTTGTACCTCGACATGATCAAGGAAGTGGAAGTTGGTCCCATTTACTCTCTTGCCTTGGCTGACAATCAATAACGTTGCCGAAAGTACAGGCTTTAAAACGAAACTATATTAAATCCTGTATCTAACTTAAGATGTGTACATGTATATATATATAGCGGATGAGATTTTTGGTTTAATGATGCGAACTTGATTCGGGATTTACGTGTAGACTACATGAGCTTGTAAAGCTTTATATCTTATATGTAACAACATTTTTGAAAATGTAATAATGTATAGCTTTCAAATTTTGTATAAAGCTATTTGGAGTGCATTATTTTAGTACACGCGTCTTCTCTTTCTCTTGAGTCTCAGTATGGAGATCAGCATTAAACAGGCTTATTTTTCAATTATTTAGCATTTCAAAAACAATAATAAACTTACTTGTAGTCGTTGGAGGTGAAATAATGTAGAAAATTTAAAGTGTACATATAAAATGACATAATTTAAAAATGAAATTTAATACGCACCTGTATCTCCCAAAAATGTCTAGAAAATTTGCGTCCCCTGTCAAAGCTTTAAATGAAATAAGCACTATTTCAGCCAAATCAGTGCAGTGCAGCATTCCCTTCTTATCAGATTATATCTAAGATCCATAGTCCATATATCTAGCACTTTAAGATATTGCTCGGCTTC